TCAGATCTGGTGCCGTTATCAGCTCTTTTTGGATCTACTGAAAATGAATTTCAGCTTCCTCTGCTGCCTGATCGTCACTCTGAGTGTCCTTCGCTGAGTTTTCTCTCTTCGTTCTCTGCTATATCTCCAGAAATAGCTACTTTCTCGCTTGACCATTTACTCTTCAACCAGCTTGTACTATGGCACCAGCATACTATGGACTCCGGACGAGATGAGTTCCCCTAGATCTTCCTGTTACTATGAACAAGTTGCAAAAACAATGTCAAACAACTTCTATACAACCAAAGGAGACTGTGACCACACAAAAGGCCACACCATATTGGTCTTCATATCTTCAAACTACATATAGTTGAAGCAGAGAGACGCCCTGTAAAGTGTGACTATCTTTTAGATGACTTTCTTTATAATTAATTGGGACAACGAAGTTACTGATATTGATAAAATTGGTATGATAGGTCCTCGAACAGAATAAGCAGTAAAAGAGTTAATGTGAGAACCTTTTAAATCACAAATGATTGAACTATATAAAATATTTCTGTTATTTCTATTGGACTGTTTATATGAAGTAAAAATGCAAAAGAGGTAGCTCTAAGTTGTGATTAACAAATCATCGGAATTTCTATGAATTTACGCGTTGCATTCCGTTAAATTCGTGTAATGTAGTTTGAAAATAAACCATATATCGTAATCACAATATTAAAGAAGTGCAGCTTAGCATGCTTGACTTTTGATAACTTGCTATATTCATTATTTCTTGTTCTGGCAGTGGACACAGTGCCATCTGGTTCGATAGTGCTCTTAAGCACGGCCGCAGTGAGGCCTGCGATACCTTTGATAACCCAGTGCTTTGCGGTCAACAATCCTCATCGTTATCAGCTCACTCCACATCAACTGAAAATGACTCTAAAGTTCCTTTACAGTCTGATCGTCACTCTGAGCGTCTTAGACCGAGTTCTCTCTCTTCGTCGTCTGCCATAACCCCACATGATCGACCCTTGAACAGTTCATTGGATTCTGAGATTACGTCTGGCCGACAAACCTGTCCTAGGCGACATTGTGGAAATGAAGAAGAGGCATGTAGTGAAAGCACTGCCTTTATAATCGACCACCTGGAAG